GCTCTGCAGCTTTGCTGCCAGGTTAAGCAGGAGAAGCTAGACTGTGATTAGGAAAAGATGATCAGGAAAGCAGTGTGGAGGGTTTGAAGGTGAAGGGCTGTGAGTAATAGGAGTGGCTGTTTCATGCTCAGCAGTGAGGTGAGCTGGGAGGTGCCAGAGCGCTTGTAAAATGGAGCTGCAGGGGAGACAGCAGATAAGCATCGTGGCTGTGCTGATGCTGTGTCATACATAGCCAGGCATAGAACTCAGAAGCAAACAGCAGCAATGTCGTCACATCATTATGGTAGTGACTAGTGGAGGAGAAACACCTTGACTCTAACACACTCCACAGTGGCTGCGGAGCATGGATTTACAGTGATGCTTTCTGCATCTCCCATGCCAATGAGAGCAGGGTTTTTTCCCCTTGAATCTTGGCACCTCATGAGTTGCTCAGTATAATACTCCCTCTCTGTTTTGCCATGTTCCCGCTGTCTGTCCTTGGCAGGCTGGAGGGAGGAGAGGGTCTTGTCAGCTTCCCTTGGCTTGTGCTGGAAAGAGGTGGGCTGACAGCTCCTTTTGCCAGGTCATGCACTGAAGGCTTGGTATGGAGCCCTTAGGGCTCGGCAGGCGGGGCACCAGTGCCTGCTGCATTTGTCATACATCTGAATAGAAAGGTGGCAGCCACTCTAGAAAGGCAGACACTACTGTCACCTCCTGAGCTGAGTGATGAGCTCGTTACTGTTTGCATTGTGAGAACATCCAAAGATCAGTGAGTGGCTGAGGGTACCTCTGAGAGCTGGGCAAAGACAGTGTGCTGCCTAGAGGAGATTACAGCTGGGAAGGAGAAATACGGGCCAGCACTGCCTTGATTAGTTCAGGAGCTTCAGCTCACTCCTCCCTCCCCCTGCTGCTTTCCCCAGGGGACTGCAGAGTGTGTCTCTCCTCCAGCCTGGAAAAGGGAGAAGAGGACCCTGATCTCTGGTTTTAATGGGCATTTGTCATTTGGTAAGAAAACTGCAAGCAGCCTGCGTGACATCTTGCCCCTGGTAAATAATAAATGGCCCCTGACCACGCACAGCCGGCTGCGTGCCTGAGGAGGCCGACCTACTTCACAGAGCCTGTGTGTGCCCAGATTTCTGTCCAGAATTTTATTGAGGCAAGTACCAGGGACCTAAAGCAGTGCAGGATCGCCCAGGCACCAGTGGCAGGGTGGCAGTGATGAGGGGTAGCAGCGTCCCTTTGCCTCCAGGCCAGGGCTGTGTCGGTCCCTGAAGCCTGTGCTTAGGCTGTGGCAGGGAACGAATACTCCATGTGGACCAAGGATTTGTATGAAAGTTTATTACATGAAAAATGCAGCATATTCCTTGTCAGTGTTAACCAGTGCCTCCTTTCTAGTAATTTATTTTTATGTCATTTTTTCCAGCCTGTTCATGAAAATACGTTTATGTTGTAGGTGCACATAGACATTTCTTCCCTTTTGCTGGTGCTCTGGCTTAAGGACAAGCCATCCCTGGTACTGAGCAGGGTGTTTGAGGCAACTTGGGCACAGTGTGCTGTTGAGGTGTCCACATGGCACCAAAACCTCACCTGGGGTTGCTTGTGCCCATCAGCATCATCTGTGTCAAGGTACTCTGCTTTGCAACAATCTGTAATGTGTCCTACAGGCACACTTGGCAGCTCGAGCTGCTTGGGAGAGGTTCCAACAAAATTATTTTTCTTCTGAATCGGCTGATTTGCTGTAATGGAAACATGTTAGAGCTATTTCCACACCTCTCAGGTCCTGATGAAAGCTGGGCGAGGCTCCACTACACCGTCCCCAGCGGCTTGGCAGTCTACCTGGGGAGTATCAAGATGTGTGTTTTTTTGGCAGCCTAGTCTCCCATGGCTTCCTATACCCAACTGGGGGAATCTTAGCCACAGGCTAGCTCAGGTGCAGGACCTGCTTCCTTTTGCAACAATTCTGAATTGTTTGTATTTTCTTCTGAGGTATCAAGAATTAAAATTTTGAAAGTCTCCATAAAGTGCAGGTTTGTTTCTTCATCAGAATTTTTTACGCCCTCCAAGAGGGCGAGACTTTGTAGCTAAACGTTCAGTAATTCTTTATAGACTGTAAGTAAGGCTTAATTTAATGGCTGACTCCATAATTGAACACTGTCTTGAAACTGCACTTGTATCCTTTTTAGATTAGATTATTCTAATGCCTAGTTTTGTTATTTGTGTATGTAAAAACGTATAAAATCCTTATGTCTACAATTATTTTTTTCTGGAGTTGTGCTTCAGCTTTATTTTAGTCTGTCTTATTTTCCTTGCCTGTTACATTTGTTTTTATTCATTATGCATCTTCTGCTAGTTTAAAAACAGTAAACTGTAGAACTTCTTGATGATCTTTTGACTCATTAGCAGTGACAGATGAGGTGCGCTGGTAGCATTGCCTGCCCGTATCAGTAAGCTCTTGACTCTTGTAACTGGACAGTATTAATGTTTAGAAAGGCAACTGAATGAGCTTAGAAAGAGCTCACAAGATGGTGGTCTCTCCAGGTCAGCAGGCAGCATAGTAAATCATCATGGTGAGGAGATGCAACTGCCAGCACGTGGCAAAATAACTTATTACCATTCCAGCTGCTGATTCACAAGTCCTGCAATTACAAGTGACAGTAGGGAGGCTGGGGAGAAAACAGGGAGCCTGCTCTGGCAAATTCCAGATGGAGGACTTGCATTCATCTCCATCCTCTAATGAGAGGGTGACAACATCTGAGGCGGGTCCTGGGGACATATGTCATCACACTTCTGTGCCTTGGTTCCCCCCCAAGGTTGTCTCGCTGCTGCAGCACGTGGAGAAAAGCCTCAGACCTTCTGTGTACCTACTCTTTTGTTGTGCACTGTATTTCAAATGTCTTTCCCCCCCTTCTTTATCCCCTTGAGAATGTCTGTTTCTTCCCTTTTGCTTTTCTAGAATGATGCAGGCTGTAGAGGCTTTAAACCTGCAAAATTGTTCAAGTACAAGCTGAAAAGTCAATATGCAGCATGTAACTGAGAAGTTACATTGTTACACCCCTAGCTCTGCCTTAGCACTTTTTAATGAATAAATTTTAAGAAATTTATTGTTTATTGTTGTTCTGGTTTTATAGGTTAAGAAATATATCAACTTGTTTGTTTTCTAAACTGGGAACTCAGGGCATTCATAGTTTGTATGCCTGAGTCATCTTGTAATTAAACCAGGAATTGAATCTGGAGTGAAGAGTATAAAGCATGGAAAAAAAGGAGATTCTGAGTTATTGTCTGGTGAGCCAAGGAAATAATTTATAATAAATAGCGCCTTTTTATGTATGAATGGGAAAAGAAGATTCTGACTGCTTTGGAGTTTTACAGCATTAACAGTCACTTGGCAAAGGTCTTTCCAAAAGCATTGTGTACTTGTCATGGTTTAACCCCAGCTGGCAACTCAGCCCCACACAACCACTCCCTCAGTTCTCCCCCACAGTGGGATGGGAGAGAGACTTGGAAGGGTAAAAGTGAAAAAACTCTTGGGTTGAGATGAAAACAATTTGATAATGGAAATAGAATAATCATACTAGTAGTAATAACAATAATGGAAAGGAAAGTAAAGAAGAGAGATCTAAAATCCAAGAAGTACAAGTGATGCACAACATAATTGCTCACCACCAACCAATCGATTCCCAGTCAGTCCCCAAGCAGTGCTCCTGCCCCTCAACCTCACCCTCAGTTTTATTGCTGAGCATGATGCCATATGGTATGGAATATCCCTTGGGCCAGTTGGGGTCAGCTGTCCCAGATATCCCCCCTCCCAATTCCATGTGCACCCCTAGCGTTCTCACTGGTGATAAGCAGAAAAGGCGTTCACTCTCTGTGAGCCCTGCGCAGCAATAACTGAAACCATCCCTTTGTTTTCAGCACTGTTTTCAGCACAAATCCAATACACAACCCCATACTGGTGAGGAAAATTAACTGCCCCAACCAAAACCAGTTGGCACTGAAGTTACAGACTTTCCCTGTGTTTGGGTAGGTAGTGAGGTGCTGGCATTTCCAGTATGACTTCTTCAATGAGAGAGTTTAAATATTGGTTCTCAGGAATATGCACGGGTAAAATTTGCTTTCTATAAAATGTATTTTTTTAAGAACAGAATGTAACCATTTGAACAGTACCCCTGCAGACTTGATATTTTGAACAATTCTTCATGGGAAAAAATGTTTGCTTTCTGGCACTTTAGAAAATACAAAGAACTGGTAGCTCTCTACCACTCTTGCATGTGAACCAAACTTTGAAGGCTGCTTCCTGTCCTCGTTCATGGAGTGAGTGAGATACAGCACAGAGTGCCCCCAGTTCATCAACATCCTTTGATCTGCAGGAGTCACAAATTGACAACAATTCCTTCTTCACACCCATGAGAAACTACACTTTGAGCTGTTGGTCTGTAACTCAGAACAGGAGGCACAAGCTGTGGGCCATATCCCTTGGCTGCTGCAGTGGAGTGGGGTAGTTGACCCTGCTAATGTTGTTAAAGGAGCTTCCCTGGGTAGGAATTTCTACATGGCAGGGCTAAGCAGCCTCTCCTGACCTTGTCCCTTCCTGTTCCAAGCTCTGTTACTCTTCCAGAGGTGCCGAGAGTCCCAGATGAGCTCAGCTTGGCCATTGCAGAGTTGAGTGGTTTCTTCTGGAGGCTTCTCTTCCCTTTTTGGCTTCTGTGCAATAGGGTGGTGATGAAAGGGGGATGTAGTGGCATTTGATGTTTCCATGTGCAGTGATTTCTGCCTTGAGGAAAAAGAACTGTGATGACCATGGAGTGTCATGTTCCGAAAGTGACAAATAAACAGTGATATTATGGTTTTCTTCTCCAGTACTCATATGTACCAATATGAATCTGTAGTGTAAGCCTTTATGTAGGGTAAGTGTTTGATATTAGTGGCTTTCAATATAATATGAGCATATTTAGTGTAACCAGTATGTTATCATGTTTATTTATTTCAACAAACCCACATTTGTTCCTTTTTTTTCCCTCCAGAGTGACCGACTACTCATTAAAGGTGGAAGAATTATCAATGATGACCACTCCTTCTATGCAGACATATACCTAGAAGATGGACTTATAAAGTTGGTTTTACAAAATATTGAACTTTTTTTGCATGTCTGTTAGCATAGACTGCTGTCATTTCTTGATGGTGCTGACCGGAAATCTTGTGTACAGAATCTCAGTTACCTCTAGATGTGAAGCCATGTAGAGGAGTGTGAAATTATTAAATTGTGCCATTTTATCTCTACTAAGATTAGATAAATAGGAAATTTCTTTAGTGTAAATTGAAGGTATTTGCTTTTTGAAGGGAATCCTAATTTCTTCCATAATGGTCAAGGCAAGTAGGCTCTCTCAACACAGCTTTTTTCCCCACACCTAATCTGTGCAAATGCAGCCATACCATAAGGATTGTATAGCACAGAAATCTGAAATATGCCCCATATTGCATGGTGTAAATGGGGACCTGCTACTTTTCAGTTGCCCTTTTGGTTAATGCTGAAGCATAGCATGTTCTGTTCCTACAACATTGAGCCTGAGATTGGGTCAGTTGATTATAACATGGTGCTAAGAAGACCAAGCTTGTGGGTTTGATCCCCGTAAGGGCTATTCACTTTTGACTTGATGATCTTTATGGGTCCATTCCAACTCAGTATATTCTGTGATTGTTATTCATTGTTCCTGTGTCCCTTTTCATGCCTATAGATGGTATATGATCTTAAAGCATCACACAATTAGAAAGAAAATCCTACTCATTTATCCGACTATAAAATACAGGAAAGTATTTGATAGGTGAAAAACTTGAAATACCTGTTACTGAGAGCCTGAGAAGCTGTAACAGAGGAGTCCATGCACTCTGCTGGTCCTGCCTTGGTTTAGTGGAGACGAGGGTCTCTAGCTTTGCAAAGTTATGCTGTATGTATGAGTGCTGTGATGGACACAAGGATCAAAGCCTTTTTCTTGATTGCTAAACATTTTCACTAGTGACCTAAGAAGCTTGGTCTCCAGAGGCCATAACTTAATGCACAAAAACATAATTATGGTTATCTGGTAAATAATTAATGACCTACTTGTTTTCAGAGCTCCTTTTCTTAAGAATATATCATCAGATTAAAAGTCCTTTTCTGTATATGTCTGTGGCTATTTACATTATGATGATTCAGGTTATTATAACATAAAAAAATCTGAACACTTTTCTCCATGCTTTTTTTTTAATGCTTCACTCTGCCTTTCCAGTTGTAGCGTTACTTGCATTTCAGAAGTGACAAAAGAGCATATTGTTTTAAGTGGAGAAGACACAAAATTTCGAACATGTGTGTTTTTTTTGTTTAATAGCATCAGTCAACCAAGCTGTACTCTCTTTGATAAGTATTTTAGTTGAGTTTTTCTGTGCTTTTATTAGTTCATATGCAAATCTCCTAGTAACACTTGCAAGCATCATAACTGTTTTAACAACTAAGAGCATGAGATGCTGAGGGTCTGAAATTGCTGTGAATTTTTTACTTTGATTCCAGAAATACAATGTTGCTTGGTAGGCAGGTTAGCAGTGCCAAGCTTTGACCTGCCCTTGTTGAGTGCATGGACTCCCTCTAAAATCCATGTGTGGATCCCTACCTCCAGAAGGCATCTTGGCTGCCCAAGATAGCTAGGATTAATAATGAATAGACAGGCAAAATCTTAGTTTTTAAAAGGGCTTTATCTTTGCCCAAGGAGGCTGTTCAGCACCCTGAGTCATGCCTGGTTTCCTGGATTGAGGTGGCCCAAGACTTTTCTTTGTAAATTGTGCAAGAAGTCCTGCTCTGAAAAAAACAGCTAATTTGTGAGGGCTGCCTGCTGCGAGGTGGGCTTGAGTCCTTACTATGTTCAGATGATAAATTTTGCAGCCTAAGGAAGCACTGGGTTTGGTCTCTTCTCCAGCTGGAACTGCTCACTGTGTCTGAATATTTAACATCATTGTTAAATGTGGCTCAAGATCCTTTGGAGCAGGACCTTGAACCTCAGTCATCCACATTTTAGTTGATGCTCTAACTCTCCAGCTGCAGATCCTGCTGATAATACAGAATTCTTGACACAGAATGGAGCAGACACCAAACCACTCAGCCCAGAAAAGGCAATAGTGTCCTTGTTTTTCTGGGATATAAATGATCTAGATTAATTTTCTTACTCTGCAGTGGAAACTAGTTGGAAAATAGAGAGTTGGGTTTCTCTTGCAGACTAATGAAATGAATAGGGTCTTTTAACACTTATGTCCCTGCAGATTGCTTTGCAGAGAGGAAAGCAGATGTAACTTTGAGTGTGTTTGAAGGTTAGCTACAGTTTGGAGAATGGTAGATTCTTTGTCCTACCTGTCAACGCTTAAACTGCCTCCCTAGGTACAAGGGAGCAATGGGGGATTTTTCCCTACATGGAACTTAAGCCCTTCACACTCAGATAGCAGCAGTAGTTTAAATATTTGGTAATTTAAATTGCCGTTGGCATATAAATAATAAATTTTGTGTACCTCTCTCCTGCCTCTGCTATCACATGGGGAAATGAGGCCTGGTCTCAGTGCCAAGTGGCAGGTCATGGCCTGGGGCTCGCTGTCCACTGCTCCATCCCTGCCAAGGGGAAGGGTTGGGTCCCTCTGGGCTTGAAGGAACTAACAAGTATGCAGGGTGGGTGTCTGGCCATGTGGTCACCAGAGCTCCACGTGACTGACCAAGTTAGGGAGAGCCTCAGATGCCTAAAGGAGTCCTGGGCTTGATGACCATAGAAGTAACTCCACAGAGTTCTGGGGGAGCTTTTCAGCTTTCTTGGGTGAAGCTTGTGAAGAGCTGAAGCCTGCTGTTTCTGTTGTGCTTTAATCAGCTCATGTACAACAGAATTTACCAGCTTGTTCAACTGAAAATGGTAGACAGCATCAACTTTCTGTGGGTCTGAGTTTTCTAGTAGCTGATGTAGCAGAAAACCAGCTCAGACTTTTGTACAGAGTCTAAAATACAGTTATCTGTTCTATTATATTTTTTCACCCACGAGTAACTGAGTGCCATTCTTATTCACATACACTTTGAATTAATGAATGAGCAATTCAGGAATCCTGAATCCAGTCACATTATCTCCTACTTTCTGTTCTAGTCAGTCAGAATAAAAATAACCTTGAGTGTCAGTGAAGATGAGCCTTCTCTCAGCCTTAATCTTGATGCCAGGGCGAGAGATGAGAGAGAGTTCTGACAGGATGCAGCAGCATCCACAAAGACCATTTGGTCCCATGTCACTTGAACATGGATGATTTGAGCTGAATAAGCTGTTACTCAGCCATACACTGAAAATAAGGAGCACTGAGTAATCAGAAAACTTCAGTACATAGTTAACACCCTTTAACTTTGTTAGGGTATGTGTCTTCTTGAATAGGTAACTGGTAGATACTGATTGCAGAAGCAAATAAAAATTAATTGCTTTCATATTTTTATGTAGATTTTTCTTTAATATTATTTTCTAAAGGCATACTAGTTCTTGGAGTGCAATGAACACTTTGGACATATTAAAAGAAGATTGGTCATAGTGAATTTTTTTTTTCCAGTTCAGTTTTTTAGCCACACAAATGCTGCACAGAAGTGGAGGGTTGCTCTGGTTAAAATCTTGGGAATGGATTCAACTAACAGAAGTTAGTGTAACACCATTATTATAAGCGGGTCTACCTAACTTCCTGCAAGCACTGAATCTGCTCATTGGTGGAGTGCCTTATGGTATGCCTTTGTGAGTCAGATTTTAAGAGCAGAGGAGCTTCTTGCAGCTTTTGTTTGCACAATTGGATGTGCTGGGCAGCTGCTGGCTTTTGCATACACATCAGTTCCCTGTTTGTCAGGATATTGTTAACACTCTGTGCAGCTGTAAACAGGTTGTGACAAGCTCCCAGTGCTCTACATGTTGGTGACTATTAGATGCCAGACGTGGACTTGTATGGCTTCATGCCATGATGTTATCAGCTCTCCTGAGAAAGCCCTTTTGGATTTGTTCAGTGCTGGATGGCTGAGACCCCAGCTCCAGATGCTGGCAGGGAGTTTGCTCTGATGGTGGTGCTTCCCTGCAACCAAAGCCTGGAGCACTGGGGGAGCCAAGCTAATGGAGGTGACATTTTTGCATAGCATATGAAACAAATTCTTGACCTCTTGGGGCTATTTATTAACGCTGGTGGTTTGGCCAAATTCCAGTGTGAATAATTATCTCTGTTTTTTTTTTTTTTTGCTGGTTTTAATTAACAGTTATATTCACTTTTGGTTCTAGCTTGTCTCAATTGGCTGTTAATCAGTTGCTGTGTTTTGATCTGTAGGTGGGAGTTGCATTTTAATATGGGAGAAACAGATTCAGCAGCTCAGATGTCTGGGGTATTTGTTTAGATGCAGATAAATGTTATTTTATCCCAGAAAAAAGGAAATTAAGACAGGGACTGTGTCTGTAATATGAGATAAACTAAGCGAACTTAAACTACCTTACAGTTATCACTAAGCCCAAATATATTACGGTGTAATAGTGCAGAGACATGGCTTCCACACAGACCCCTCCCTTTCCCTGTTTGTCACCCTGGAAAGCAGACAATAAAAATGCAGTGTGGGTTTAAAAGTTAAAGGTTAATTTATTAATAGTTGTGTCCCTGAACACTAAAAGTATTTTGTGAGTATCTGGAGTTTCCTTGATATCAGCATGGAGAAGAGATTAATATTTTTAATAGTGAAAAAAAAAATCCCACTTTGAAGACCTGAAGGGAAAAAGATGGCAACAGTTAATTTTCATTTTTCCACACAGTTGTGTAGATTGTTTCACTAAGTTTTAACTTGAAGAGGAGGATGGAGAATATGTCACATGGTAGATTAAAGGTGTATGTATTTCTGTATCTTAGGTTATTTAGATTTATTTTGCATAAATTAGCATTGCTTGATGACAAAGTCATTATAACACTTTCTAATGTGCCTTGTGCCTCTGCCACAATTCCAGCTTGCTGTCATATTTGTTCTGTGTTTTTTTGTTTTCATTTAAGAACTTAATATACCAAACTGGAGCCCCCGAGAGAGCATTAAGCGTACATAATTCCAATTGTTTAAAGATAGGAATCATATTAAAAAAAAATCAATTTTTAATGCTGGTGCATTACAGCTCCTTTATGGGCCACTAGAGTAATGCAAAGTGAGCCAAGCACATGGCTCAGCAAGGCAGCTCTCCTGGACTTTGTTCTGCCAGTGCTGAGCAGGATGGCTGGAGTAGGTGCTTGAGCTTCTCCTTTCCTTTGGGGACCTTTCCTCCTTCTGTGTGGCCCCTGGGTTCCTCTCCCCTACATGCCTTGTGCTCTGTGCTTATTTGTTCAAGTAATACTGGCTTTCCTTGCTGTCCAGGCAAATAGGAGAGAATCTGATTGTTCCTGGAGGAGTCAAGACCATAGAGGCAAATGGGCGCATGGTCATTCCTGGGGGAATAGACGTCAACACTTACCTACAAAAGCCCTGCCATGGGATGACTGCAGTGGATGACTTCTATCAAGGCACAAAGGCAGCACTAGCAGGGGGCACCACCATGATCAGTGAGTACTAGCAATGCTCTCTTCCCACAACAGGCTGAAGCCTGTGTAGCATGTGTGGGGATAGCTACTGGAGGCTCCATACTAATTTTATGAGATCTTGAGATCTTCTGCAATGAATCTTCAAGTTTCTGGGCACTGTGTTTGAGATCCATTCATCATTTTCGATCAGGGTTGGCCTGAAAATGAACCAACCCTCAGAAAGAAATAGCAGCATGGTGAATTGTCTCTTGGATTTTCCTCTGAAATACAGAACAAGCACTGAGGAGTAAAATACCTACTCTTGGGATTTTTGAAAAACGGTGTAGGTAGTGCTGTAAGTGTATGGCACAGAAAATCTGACGAAGATCTGCTGTTCCCACCTAAGTGCCATTTCAAGGGCTTTGGAAATAACAAGGTGCTTATTTAGAAACTTGGAATTGACAGCAAGAATTGAGGAACTCCTGACCAGAGATGTCTTGGAGGAACATCTTTCTTGGTGAAAGATAAAATTAATTGTTTATAATTGTTAAAGACCTTTCTTCTGTCTACCAGATGGTGGGACAAGATTTAACTCTTTCCTACTAGCAGTGACTTGGCCTTGGTTAGACTTTGTGAGGCAGTTGTCCAGGTGACGTAAATTGTCGTAGCTTCCTTGTGCGGAGAAGCTTCACAGTGGAGTTTTACTCCCACTGAATTGGGATGTGGCTTTTTTTGCTGAGTGGTGTAATCTGTTACCTGTGTTCAGCAGCAGGTATTAGCTGAAAGAATCTCTGGCAATAAGCACGAATTGCATTGTTGTTCATTACTTTTGTTAATAGTTTTTTCAGTCTAATGTTCTTCAATTGTGGCTTCCTGTGCAGGAATTAGGCTTGCAAATGCCACTGGTAAGCCCATCTTGCTTTGTTTCCCTACTAATTTTTGACCTAGCGATGTGAAGAGAAGTACATACACATAAGTAGTTGTGTCTTTATGTCAACAGGCGTTGTGGCATCCTTAGATGCAGAAAGTCTTGAGGCAGTGAAGATGTGTGGTTGCCCGGCATTCAGTCTCCTGTATAGTGTGGCTGAGTGTTTGTGCTCGACGTCATCCCTGTTCAGACCTTTGGCTGTATTCCCAGTTTTAGCTGCTGAGAAAACATTGAACATCTGCACTGATGTATTGGTAGGGCAGAGTGAGCCAATTCAGTGACTACAAGGCACTGGTTAATAATTGTGCTTACTGCGAAATACATAGAAATGGACACATCAGACAAGAAGTACAGCAAAGTCCAGAGCCTGTGCTCTCTTACAAAACAGTAAAGGGAAAGGCAAATGTTTCCTAAACTGTGAGATGTTTGGCTTGCCCTTTGTGTATCTATTGATGCTGCACCAAGCATGTTGCCAGACTTACCTTTAATACAAACTGTTCACAAAGTCTGCTCCACCTGAGACAACAAGACCTGACCAACACCCCAGAGGTACAGTCTGCACACAAACTGCCTTCGAGGCTGCTGTTTCCAAGGCTGAGATGCTGGAAGACTGCTTACTCACAGGCACTGAGGAAATCTGAACAGTCTACATGCTGTCCAGCTAACAGACACTCAATCTCTTTTTCAGTTGACCACGTGCTTCCAGAGCCTGGTTCGAGTTTACTGACCTCCTTTGAGAAGTGGCATGAGGCAGCTGATACCAAATCTTGTTGTGATTATTCTCTGCATGTGGACATCACCAGCTGGTATGATGGGATTCGAGAAGAGCTGGAAGTACTGGTGCAAGACAAAGGTTAGTTAGTGAAATATAGTAATATTTTTTGGTTTTATTGAAATATCATATGGAGGTGAAGTTTTGAATTATTTTAGTGAATGCACAGGCACTGGTTACGCTGCTTTGCACTACCTTGAACTTGTATTTTTACTTGCTGCTGTGTAAAATGGACATAAAGCTTTGTGCTTGTATATAACTTTGTCCAATATAGGCATGGAATATTAAAATGTGTTGGTTGTCATATACAAATGCGTCATTTTGTGCTTGCTTGTTCATGTGAAAATAGGCTCACACATTGCATAGGTATGTTTTATTTGAAGGTAAAACTCCGAGATCAGCATTTAGGATAATCAGCCCAGTCGTCTTAGATGCTCTGTTTAAAGAATGGAGAAAATGAAACATTTCAGGTAGTGGTTCAGATTTTAACTGGACTGGAATCTGTGATTCAGCTGCCTCAAAATTAAGTCCAAATATGAAGAGCACATGTGTCTGTGAAACTGTCACTACAGGCTAGATCTCATTTCTTAGCAATGACTTAGGATAATTTACTTTAATGCCTGTATTTTTAAAACAGGTTCAAGTTGCTAGAAAAAAGGGATGCTAAAGTTAGGTACCTAACACTGAAAAAATGTCCTGATTTTCTCAAGTGCTTTGTCTCCAGTGGCTTTCCCTGAAGTAACTACAAGATGCTTTGTTTCAAAACTTGCCAAAAAAAGGAATCTAAGACACTTACAGGTTTGACTCATTTCAATTAAGAGGTGTGATGAGTGATGCTATAGGTTACCCTGCCTGGGCTCCAGCTACCACTCCAGAATAGCACAAGTGAAACCTCTCATAAGTGCATGTCCATGCATGTCAACTCAGCGTGGCAGTCTCAAATATTGAGGGCATCTTGGTGGCATCGGGTACCTGTGTGTGGGCAATTGGATCTAGCCTTCAGAAAATACCTAGCTTAGCTCTTGTTCCTTAAAATTTTGCCTGACAGCATGGATTTTTCTTTCCAGAAATATGTATTTTCAAATATTTTTTGCTTGATACTTTCCTTGAAAATGTATGCATATTAATTAGGAAATATTTTCTGAAGTGGCATTCAGTTCCATGGGCAAATCAGAATGACCCTTTTATTGGGAAACTTAAGTGATACTTATATTCAGCATCCTTTGTAATGTGTAGTGCTAGTAATGACTTTGATAGTACATTTCTCCATAAAGAGAATCTTTCACATCCAAATAGAAAAACAAAGCAAAATGCTATTTTTGAGTGAGCAATTTTTTGCTGAGTTACCATGGAGGTGCAGTCACCTAGGGGAGTTTATCCCATATCACTGGATGCTGGCAGTTCCTGTGCTGTATAACCAGATTTTAGGCACTTCAGTCAGCAAGACTGCACATAATTTAGAGAAACTGCAGCTGGTCTTACAAAGCTCTATAATACAGGTGATTTTTACAAGGTGATGACATCTGTCAACACTGGTTGTGCCAAACCTGTGCTATTTCCCTGCTGTCAGCATGAACGTGAATCTGCTGCTGTGCATTAGCTGAATGTACTCTCAGACAAGTGTACTGTGCCTCATTTCAGAGGTTGGATACTATTTTCCAGAGCTCCTGGATCACAGGTGGCTCAGCACTCCCAAATTTGCCTGAGGGCTTACATTAAAAGCCCGATGCAGATAGTTAGTTTAATAGTCTTCTCCAAGTATTGAAATGTGAGTTTTCAATATAAATCTGACCTGCCTTTTAGTTGTCAGGGGAAGCAGGAATCTCTTCATTGGTTCTGAACTGGGATGCATAATGGGGCCTTGGTGGCTTCTTTAGTGGCAAGAGCATTAGGAGGTCACCTTTGTTCTCACAGCTGCAGCAGTATATCTCAGGCAGTCAGTGTGAATTACTCTCATGTTTTAGAAGACACAAGGTGAGGATGAGTATAAAAGCACAAGCACAATGTGAAATATTTCAGTGTGGCAAGGGCTTTCAAATTAACGGGTAATATTTCCTGATAATTGGAAACATTTGAGCCAGCTGGTGCAAATAGACTTGATGTCAGTGGAGTGACCCTGGTTTTCATCAGCTGGAAATCTGGACTGAATTTGTTCTCGGCTGATTGTGGGTGAGGTAGCTGAGTGACAGGGATCAGCTCATTGCGTTTCAGTGCTGCACGTGCCTAATGCAATCAGCATGACTAACAGGGGAGCTCACAGAGTGGCTGTTGAGGTGCCTTGTCATGAGGTATAATTGAGCAATTAATCAGTTTTAACTCAATACAAAGCTAATTTAAGGAGACACAGGCTTTGGAAGGGCCTGGAGATTTTGTAGCCCCAAATGCTGATTATAAAGACTCAGGCTTGTAGCATTTCAGCAGCTATTTTGGGATTGGGCTTCTCCAATATATGCAAAGGAACAACTGCCTGAAATAGCTGACAGTTCAGGGCCTCACTGGTTGCTTTGACTTTGTCACTGTTCAAAAAAGCTTGTAGTTCTGCCTAAAAGTTGAAGAGGATTCTATTGAGTACTCCTGGTGTCAGGGAAGTAGGACATAAACAAGAATGTAGCATGTAACAGATGTTAAGCATTAAGGTCAATAGTCCATGGACAAGGGCTTTTGAAAAGCTGCATAATTCCAATGAGTAGGTCAAGACACCAGACCAAGGCAAAGAGTCTAATCTTGGATACCTGTATATGTAACTTTGTGCTGTCTATCTTGGTATCTGGTATAGGTATTCTCTTTGCAAGGCAGGATGGTTTGCACCATCTCTCCTGTTAGCTGTAAGGGCAGCCCATGAGATATTTTTCCACTGTGTGTGTGTCTGAGGTGGCAGCTGAGGGCCTGGTTGTGTGTTTGCTCGGGAGAACTCTGCTTCTGCAGTGTGGTAAGGAGCAGGCTCAAGATCCTATGGCGGGATCCCAGCTGAGGTCCTTTCTATTCTTACTGATTTCAAGGAGAATGTTAAACAGAGTGGGAGCAAAACTCTTGTCATTTTACCAAGGTCAGAAGAGGGCCTAAGAAGATACAAAGGCAATAAAAGAAAAGATGATGAAAATATGTATTACTTGGGTCAGTGTATGTCTTCCAACCACAGTACCCAGAGAAAGCTGTCTTATCTCCTGCAGGACTGTGATTAAATGAATTACCTTTGTCTAGATCCTACTGGATAAGGGAGAGCAAATAGATAACCCAGCTCTTTGCTTACAGTGAGATGTGTATGAGAGGATTCAGTCCTATGCCATCACTGAGGCTAGTCAGCATGGCTTGGGCCAGCCCTAACACACCTCTCATTGCTTTGTGTGTGCAAGGTGGCTCCAGGGTGCAGCTGACATCTGAGATGTGGGGTGGGTTTGGGGAGAGAAAATAGAGCTTTCCTCCAAGGCAGGTAGGACTGATGTTCTGGGAGCTGCTATGTTCAGTCAGAGGGAGACAGGACTGAAGGCATGAGGCTGCAAGCACTGGCTCCAGGGAAGGTGTAGTCAAGCTTAGGTTTTAAAATAGGAACATACTGAGTACTTCGCAACTGTAAGGGTGAATAGATGGAAGGATTACAGTTAGTAAAGGACATGTGGGTTTTCTGAGAACTTGATAAATGGGAAAACAGGAAGAAAGGATGGGTTTATAGGCTGACAAGGCTCCATGTTTCAGGCTGAATTTGCTCAGAGTGGAAGTCAGCAAGGAGTGGCCAGCTCCTGCTTTGTATTTCTCTCTGAGCTACCTGGACTTAGCAGGAAGACATAATACCAGGGATCATTTCAGCGTTTTATCCTGCATGTATCCTGGGGTACTTTAGTCCTCTAATTGCAAATAAATTCTGTGTGTATGTGTGTGTGTGAGCAACCATACCCTCTGCCTGAGGATGTATTTGTTCATTCTGGACTCATGGAGTTATATCTTCATCAGAGAGCCTTATTCATTTTGTGTAGATAACATAAATAACATGAACAGATCTCTTTCTTTCTGTTCTTGCCCCAGGAAGCAAAGTTTTCATCACAGCCATTTTGAAATGCAGCACACACAGCTTAGACAGTTGAGAATTTACTTTTCTTTTAAGTCAGAAAACTTCTGAGATTGGTCTCTGTACCAAACTGGGGTTCTTGTCAGTAGACTAAAGAGGAAGGCAAATTTATACAGTAATATGAATTCATAGGTATGGAAATTATATTTTTGTAGAAGATGTTTGTAATTCTTGTTCCATTAGAATACAAAGCTGTATAAATGACTGAATTTTTGAAATAAATAGCAAAACTTTTAGGGATTTGAATACAGTTGGTTCTTGGCAGCCGACACTCAACACTAGCATTTCTTATGATTTCTAAAATTTGAAGCTGTCATTTTCCATGGTTTGGTGTGACTGCCAACATAAATCCTTCTGTCTTTGGAAGGTGGAAGGAGAGGTGTGGCGAGCTGCTGGTAAAGCTGGTTTCAGGCTTTGTTTCCACTCTTTCCCAGTGTCTACCATCAGCTAAACTGGGTGCTTTGGGCAGTAAGGTAAAGAAAAAGGAAGTCTGTAAGCACATTCAGATACACGGCTCCTACATATTCTCAGCACTTTGGAGGAACTTAACTAGAAGTTTTATCCATCAAAAAGAACAGTTTAGGTGTGCAAGTTTCAAGCTGGCTTCCCACCAAGTCTCCGAAACTTGACAACAGAGTCTGCTTCCCAGAGAGGGAAGGAAAAAAAACCAAGCAGCCAAAACTACTGCAAAAATATATATTTAACATATGAAACAGATATATACAGTGAGAATATTATATACCTATAACCCCAGAAACCCTAAATAGCTTCCTAAAGGGAAGAGGGGAAGGGAGAAGGGAAAAAGGACAAAATAGGACAAAAAGGGACAAAAACAAAACAGGTCTACACAATCTAAAAACCCGGTAACCAGCAAACTGAAGAACTGGCAAAATCTCACCACTTCCCTTTGAACAAGCAGGATGGCTGGACACGGCCCAACACCGTCCCCTCACACATGGCAGATAACAGCAGTCACTGCAGGCCTCAGCTCCAGATAAGCCAGACCGAGACAGGGACCCACCGTTCTTGAACCTCGCCGGAAAGGAAGAGAGCGAGGTCCCTCCCGTTGGCTTTATTTATACCTCAAGTTACGTAAAGGAATGGCATGGAATACTTCCATGGTCACCTTCCTAGTGCCTTCCTGGTTACAAACTGGTCTCCAGGAAGGCCTAGAGTGAAAACTATCACATTAGGTCAAGCTGAAATGTTTTCCTGATTAGCTGAGGAAACCTAAAAAGAAAACCAGTGATTTTGTGGTTTTCAGAAACAGAACCTTATGCAAGGTCTTTCAAACTTCACAAACTTGACCTGCTTGCTTTAGCCACCATCACCTGTCTGTGATTTGGCTGCAAGCAGTCCTGTTTGCAGTGGTGGCTGGGTTGCTCCAGGGCTGAAGACAGGCAATCCACAGCATCCAACGCATTCCCCCAGGAAAGATGGCATCTAGTCCTAGCAGCTGTAATGCCATTGCTTTGTTTTTGGCAATCACTGGTGAAAAGCTTAGTCCAGATGTACTCTATGACTTGTTTTTCCTGAAAGTTTTGTTTGAATACAGTTTAAGAATCCACTTACATGGCAACACCTTTAAATTTTGTCTTGGAACAGGTGTGAACTCTTTTCAAGTCTACATGGCGTACAAAGATCTCTATCAAATGTCCGACAGCCAGGTATTGCTCTCAATGCTTTTCATTGCTATGATCTGCCCTCTCTTTCTCATCTCCCAACATGTGAAGAGTTGCTGAGGTGGAATCCCAGAGAAACATTCCCACTGACCTGAGTGGGACTGGGGGAAATGTGTAGTGAGGGACTTCTCAGTGAGGGACTTCTCTCTGGAGCATCGGTGCTGAGCTGTGGAGAACACCTGCATGTGTTTCTTCAAGTGTATGATATTCACCTTCTCAAGCAATTTTCTAGTGTCTCCCAACATTGCAGCTGCTCAGACCTGCTCAGGATTTCACTCATTTTATTTTGCAGTAATCTTTCAAGAACTCTAGGTCAGAGTGGGAGAAAAAGATGAAGCACTTGAGGCTTTTTGAGGTTTTTGAGGCAGTTTTGAGGTTTCAAGAGCTTCTTGGTTGCTGCGAGCAGTTAAATGGAGTTGCTCTTTGGGGGAGGTGGCCTTTTCTCATTAGGGCTGGAGATAACAATGAGCTTGTTTGTCCAGAGCTCATTACAAATTCCAGACTCTTCAGCTTTCCCATTCATATGTATCAGGCCACTGTAAATGAACAATGGCATCTGTTAGTAATAATAATGTTTGCTTATTCAGTTGAGAAAATATTTCTTTCTTACTTATTCCCAGAGCTACAGCTCTTGGTCTCTTAAAATAACTGTTACACCTCCAATACATGTGCTTTTAATTGGAATTTTAGACATAATAATATATAAATATTTTCTGAGAGGCAGTGCCTGTTAAATTCAACTCCCTGTTGGAATTATCAGGAGAAATACATCAAAATGTTTAATGTGTGGCTGGACTAATGGCTGTTACCTTGCTTAAATACTCATGTTGCAAACTGTGTATTGCAACCCATTCAGTGCTGCCTGAAATGCCCTAGTGCAAAAGTGGACACTGAAGAGACTGTGTCTTCAGTATTTGATCTGTGCTTGAAAACTGGTCTCTCCTGTGTTACTGAAGTCTGGTTTAAACAAGGAACACATTAGCTGAATACCTTTTGGAAAGGAAACTGTATTTCAGTAGATCTGTGCTCAGAAATTACTAGTAAAAACAACAGGATCAACTATTGCCCTTCTTTATGGATGGGTTTTGACTCTTAGAAAGCAATTTTTTAAAAAAGAATGCTCTAGAGAAAATACTGCAACTTCTAATTGCAGAATGAAAGATGGTGGTGAAAGTTCAACAATGTCTGCTCTAGTAAGATGGTGCAAAATGCCTGCCCTTCAGAAAAGAGGTATTCTAGGTGTACTAAAAGTGTCTGTAGTGCATGAGGGTAATTCTATTTTACATTTGCTAAAACTGCAGAAAGTAGACTCACTAAACTTTGTCCTGTGTGGGAGGGCATGACGAGGCAGCTCTGGCAGGGGCTGGGGCAGACTCTGTGTCCCAGGGAAATGCAGCCTTGCTTGGGGCTGTTCACCCTGTCTTGGTGCAGAAGGGCAGAAGTTTGTCCTCTGGGCAAACTGGTGTGTACAGGGGTGAGTAAGTCAACACCAAACAGTGAAGCTCAGGCTCTGAAAAGAGATAATGTGCTATTCACTGAGGTAATTACCAGCATAGAAGGTATGAAACTAGGTGAACAGAGAGGTCTGAGTATTAAGTAATGTGTTTTCCTTATTCAGCAGTGTTTCCTTCTTTATACTACCTGCAGCTTTATGAAGCCTTTACCTTTCTAAAGAGCCTTGGAGCTGTTATCCTGGTCCATGCTGAAAATGGAGACTTGATAGCTCAGGTGAGAGAACTGTCATTTTTATTTCACTTTGTAAGATGATTCCTTCTGAATCTGGCAGGTACAAGTGAAGCAGAATAATGTAAAGCCTTTTTCAGAGGTTTTGGGGGCAAAAAGTGGAACTGAAAAGCTTTATGCTAAAGTCTCTTTCTGCAGCTATCAGCGTAAGCAGCACAGTGAATTTGCAGTGGGTATTAAAACTCACAGACCTATTTATTTTTGAGAATATTCTTATAAATCTTTGAAGTTTGCGAATAAGAAGTACTGTGTTCTTCTAAACATTTCTGAAATGTGTGTTTATGTGTAATCCATACTCTCTGAAGATGCATCTCAGAACAAGGAAACTGGGCTCCAATGCAGTATGTTCCATAAAACGTCCTGGATCCCCAGTGCAGACTTTGCAGGTCAGGTCCCTCGGGGTCGCTGCTGTCCTCGCACTAAAGTGTGCTCTGATCTGTGCCACAGCACATCAAAAGAGGTAACCCAAGGACAGCTGTCGATAGCAAACCTCCCACTGGTTTTTCAGAGGCAGGATTCCCCTCTAAAACAGGGTGGGTGGGTTTGGGTGGGTGTTGTTGTGACTTTATACATTTATGACGAAAGAATCTTTCGAGGCTGTTGCAGAGATGTCTCACTCCTCTGATCCCTTGTACGTGCATCGAGCCCCTCTTAGGTCTGTGAGGCTCTGAGTGAGCCATGGGATTTATCTGCTGAGCTGCTTATCTGCTGGCTTATCCGCTAAGGATGAGGCTGCAGGACTGACAAGGAAATTACAATAGGTAAAGCTGTCTTTGAGATCTGGACAAAGGAACTCACCTTGTGTCATGGCTAAGGGAGAACCTCAAGGGATTATTTGAGGAGTTGGGCAGTGTGTAAAGACTCTTGCCTTGAGTATATTTTGTTTTTCGGTCTGTGGGGTTCTGTCCCCTGTTTGCCTGCTTAGAATTTACCCCCTTTGAGAGCTGCCTTTCAGTTTTGAGTTTGGCCAAAATAACCACTGGGATCAAAAGTTACTAGTAAGGAGTCAACAGGCACATACAGTGCAGTCATGTCTTTCCCCCACTGAAACCAGGTGAAAACCCTCATTTGGATTCAAGAGAGAAAAAAAAGCTGATTTCTCATGAAGTTTAGAGTGATTTAAAATACTAAATACATAATATATAGTTTTAATACAACATAAAATATCAAATAGAATGAAAATTAATAATAAGAAACACGATTAAGTCAATATTACTGTAGGAATGGCAAAATAATACAAATCAAATGGCACCTGTTATGTTTTGATACATTCCCCATTAAAATCAAGGCACACTCGTGGAATTGCATTTCTGATAGAAATCTATTTCAGTTACATTTTTCTCTGATCAGCCCTAATATACTGCCATGGGATATGAACATGCAGAACAGAAAAATTATTAGGAAAAGAAGAAGTAGTAAATAAATGTAAATTATATTATATATCAACATATTTCTTCACCATTGCCATGTCTCACACAATCAGTCTTTCCTTATGCTTTTATTTAGAAGGATTATTTGAATACTAAAAGGAAAGCTGCCTGCAGGTAGTTTTTTCAGGACTACCCTGCATGAAAATACAAATTTGATCTTATCAAACAAATATTCTATTTCATTAGCACTGTCCAATCCTCTTACAGTGGGTGATTTTATCATATAATCTGATTTTATGACTTTCTTCAAGATGCAAATCTATCCTGTTTTGTGTAGCTATTCTGTACCAACTTGCTATTTTTTTATATGGCTCTAACTTCATCATTTGCTGTATTTTAATTATCTGAAGTCTTTAACTGGCACTGTTTAGAGCCATTGCATTAGTGATGCAGAACAGCTGTTTTAAAATTACCTGTGAAACTTTATGTTTTTCTAACCACAATATTCTTACGCATTCAGATTAATAGATTCCTGTTAATGCCTCTTCAGCCTTGATTGATTGCAGCGAAGGCTAAAGTATATGTAAATGTTAACTTCCTCAGGTTTTGCTGGAGCCTGTTGGTAATGTGTGAGTTTTTCCCCCTCAGGGACCTGGGATCAAATATTTATTAGATGACACATTCAAGTATGTTTGGTAACTTCATCCTGGTCTCTGGGGGACATTTATCTGTGTCACAGAGTCATTACATGGTAGAACTGGGCTCATTAGAGCCCTGCGGGCAGGGCAGGGCAGGGCAGGAGGTACATCAGCAGCTCTGGTCCCGCTTCTGCTCTGCTGTCAAGCCTGGACCGACCTCAGATCAGAAGTTGATCACTATTTTCTGCAATAAGGGAGATTTGTTCCGATACCACTGCTTGGCCTTAAATTAAGTGAAGCTTTTTGTCTATTTAAAAAAAAATTATCTCACTGCTGTGAAGCTGGATAGCCCAGAATTTTTTTTTAACAAATCCCCATTGGTCCTAAGATGGGCTTTTTGGTGTGGACACAGCGCCCTCGCAACTGGAGCACAATTTTAGTGATTCACCGTGTAGGAAAAAAGTGTTACAGAGAGCTGAAAGTGTCAGCAATGCTGAAAGTTTAAGAAAGGTAGCAGTGCTTTGTGCATTGCAGCCAGAGAGGAACTTGGGCAAGTAAAGAAGGAATCACAGGGTGGAAGTACCTGTAGTTACTGTTTAGTGTATTGGTTAAAGCCCGTTCCCTGAGCTGGTGTCTTGGTGTCAAGCAAGATTTTCTGGAGGGCAGAGGAGATTTACGGTGGTGGAGCCCAATGGCTCGAGGCACAAATATTCTCTATCACACAGTGGAGACCTGTGTTGGCTGTGCTGGGTGGCATGGGACCAGTTTAGAGCCAGTGTTTTCAGTGTTCAGAGGGCTTATGCAGCTGCGTTTACACAGACTTTAAAAGGGGCAGTCAGACAATATGGCTGTTATTAATCTCCCTGAGGATACTGGGTGCAAGGGTCTCATCCTGGAGCTGTGTCAGCATTTATCTCTTGCATTCCAGGAACAAAAACGTATTCTGGAGATGGGAATAACTGGGCCTGAGGGACATGCCCTGAGCAGGCCCGAAGAGGTAAGAAACTTCACTTATTTTGTCGTTTGTGGAAATATTTTGTCGAACACGTAGTATCAGAGCTTGGTTTCTGTATGTGCAGGTGATAGATGGGTGAATTTGGGAAGGCAGCAGTCTGCTTCTCCCACCTCCTCTTCCAGTATTATTCAAAACCTGAAAAGTCCAGGTCCTTTCAGCTTGGTTTACCTTAAAAACCCTTTTGATGCTGCAGCAGGTGGGTTCCCTCAGTCCAGGGATGAGTGTGTCCTTGTACACTCAGGAGTTGCAGCTCCTGCTGCCCTGGGAATGGGTGTGCATGTATTTTTTAAGTGTGACCTTTGTGTTTTGATTTGTGATGACAAAAAAATTGGGCTTATCGGGGTAAAAATCAGCAGTGCAGCTTGAGGATTAGGCTTTGGAGTAACTGCATTTATTGAAATGCTTTGACTGAAAACCTCCTATAGGTTGCATGTGTACATATGTACCATGCATATGCATATACCCACATATAAATCTACTTCCCTGCTGGCAGATACTTTGGTGGCAGAAATGCAGGTGTAGAAGTGCAAATGCGCGAGAATGGAAAGATGCTGTGAGGCAGCTCATTTTATGCAACTCCTTTATAATAAAATCCAGGCTCTGGTTTGGATCATCTCAGGCATCTGGAAAGGGTTTATTTAATGAGAAGGAAAATGTGAAGACATGAGAGTGTCCCTTAATGTATATGCAGTTCAGGCCGTTAATGGGGTAGTGGAGAGTGGTAGTGGGAAGTGACTGCTTTCCTTGAAGACTAAAGAGATGAGGTCCTGGGGATTTGAGGCTAAACTTGAAGAGATTGTTGTGGTTTGCAGATCTTTATATAACCTCTCCCCAAGGCAAAAGGAATCAGCTTAATTGCTCGCATTCTTCTATTGAACTGTTTATGTACTTTTCCATTTTGCTGTTTAACTTCCACCTAAATTATTTTGATAGAATTGAGTTGTTTCCTTTTGATGAGAACAAGAGCCTAAGGGAAATCTTCATTTGCAGTTTCCTAGAAAGGAATTTTGCATCTTTCTGACCATGCATCTAGTCTACCTCAGCCCCAGTGCTGAGGTACAAAGGCCCTACCTCCTTCCCTGCTCTTCTGAAGGTGCATTTGGGGCTTCCAGAGCAAATGTTGTGATAAAAGTCCTCGGACAACCTAAAGTGACAGTCTGATTTAGAGAAAAAAACTGTGAAGGATTAAACTGTGTGGTTTTGGAAGGCCTAAGTTGCTCAAATTTTCTAGCACAACTCTTGGAGAGAAATTTCTGTACCATTGAGTCAGTATTTTCAGTCACAACAGGGTCTTAGGTATTAAAATGCCAATACTCTGAGTTCATCTGGGAAGGATCTAGTATAAAACTGATGGCTGGGGAAAGGAGTCTCCAGAGCTGCTGGGGAACACTGCTTCTCCATCTGAAGATGCTTGCTTTGTGTGCCTACATCCCAGATGGCTCCCTGGGAGGAGATTGCCTTTACACTTGCTGACAGAGGGGACTTACTGGGCAATGCTTCAAAGGTTTTTTTGGATTATGGGCTAAATTCAGTCCATAGTGCTGAAGTTGCTGTTTGAGAATACTTTACGTTTGCTATCATCATTATGTAAAGATTAGGGTAAGCTGCCAGGGAGAGCTCAGAGGTTGTCTTTGAGCTGGGGCGAAGTTTCTTGCTTCATTCTCGTTCCAGCTGCAGAGTAGGAGTCTGAAGCAGAAAGGTGGGAGGGAGGTAAGGAAGAGCTGCATCAACTGCTTGGACACGACCTTTCCTGGGGTGCAGAGAGCCAGGAAGCTGTGTTTGTGCTGGGGCAGCTGTATGCTGCTAGTGACTACAGCCTGGCTGTGGTTACTGCTAGCATGAAGTGTTTGAGGCTGGGTTAGCTCCCTGTTTCCCAGCACTGTGTCTCTCTCCACGGAAGAAGCAGAACGAACCCCTGAAGAGTTGTTGCTGAACAGAGATATGGCTCAGTCTTCCAGTTCATTTTTTCTTCAGACTGCTTTTTCAGTTAACTTTTTCCTCCTTGTTTTCCTCAGCTTGAAGCAGAAGCAGTTTTCCGTGCCATCACTATTGCCAGTCGAATAAACTGCCCAGTGTACATCACCAAGGTGATGAGCAAGAGTGCAGCTGATATCATTGCACTGGCCAGAAAGAAAGGTAAGTGTCTTCCTTTTCTTCCCCAAACTCGTATTTTTTTGTTGAATAGAAGCTTAGTGAAAAAACCTGTACATCTTGACCCCAATGACAGGCAATAGGGAGATGTTATCAAAGAATGGTAGCACCATCACACTCTAAATATTTATGGCTGGGAAAGATAAGGGGAAATCCTTTTAGATTTTTCAGTTGAGAAACTCTCTTCTTGAGGATTGCATTGTAACTCTTCTGGAACCTTTTTTCCCTTTTACTTTTTCCCTAGACTGCTGTATCTCCATTTATGAGAGGGGGATACTTTATTTCTAACAGGGTCCAGCACATCCTCCATACCAGTATTTCAGGTTGTTACCCTCTGAGGGGTGGCTTGGGCAGTGACCCTGCTCTTAGAGAAGCCTGGGGCTCGCTCCTAGCCTTGCTGCTGGAGGTTGACTCCCCCAGATGTGCACTGTGGGCCAACCCTGCTTGCTGGGCCTGTGGTGGAATCTAGGTTACAAAGCAGCCAAGAAGGACTTGCGAGCCTGAAAGCTGCTTTTGAAGCTGCATTTGCAAGTCAGGACTGTTCTGCTGGTTGGTACTACAGAGCTCATGAGCAATACAGAGAAGCCAAAGAGCAAATTATCGTCTTGATGTTTGTATTCTTGGAGACTCGGAGTGTGGTGCTGGGGACCATCTGCTGCTATCTGCTGGTGCTGTGCCCAACCTGGGAGTAGTAAAAAGGCATCTGTCTGCTGAAGGATCCACCACCCAATGCACTCCAAATTGGAGCAACAGAGAGAACGTGGCTGTGATTAAAACAGTACAAATTAAAACCAGGTCTGAACTGTCTCCTTCTGGATTAGAAAGAGAGATTTGTAAATACGCTGATCAAAAACATGTGTAGCTCAGAGAGACTCCTTATTAATTTTTTATCACATAGACAACACCAGGGCTGCCTAATTTTCTGGGAACTACGCGGGCTGTGTAGCAGTGTGTGAATTATACGTGGCGCATGCAGCAAGCAATGTAACTTGCTGAAGAAGAGAGTGGGTTGTAATTAGTTCCTAAATATCCTTGCTTTCTCCAAGGTCCTCTTGTTTTTGGAGAGCCGATCACTGCCAGCTTGGGCACAGATGGGACGCATTACTGGAGCAAAAACTGGGCCAAGGCTGCAGCTTTTGTGACCTCACCACCTCTGAGCCCTGATCCTACCACTCCAGATCACTTAAATTCACTCTTAGCATGGTAAGACTCATTTTTTTTTACAGGCTGACGGTGAGGCAAGTCCAAAAGCCATATGGGATGAAGCATCTAGGGATCAGTTTTCTTTAGACCAGTCGTTGTACATGAAGCAGCAGAGAAGGAGCATAGAAAACCACGGATAGTTATATCCTTATGCTCAGGCTGTCAGTCAGGCGAGCAGTCATGGACACTCCATGGTTAGCTTGATAGAGAGGCAACTGCTGGCTATTCAGGAATTAATTCTTCTCTTTCTGTTTTTCATGTGATTCCTAGTTGTACAACTAGATAGTCAGGACTTTGAACTGGCTTTCTCTCTAGATCTCTGCTTTCTTTAGCTAAATTGGTAATCTTTGATGAGATGGCATCCTCACTGTCCAGCATAAGCACCAGTATGGTGGATAGACCCCCATCTGTGAGACAAGACTCAGTGCTAAGCCCCAGTCATATGTGGCAAGTAGAGTCCCTGAAATGAGGGTTGTCCCTGAATGCAGAGATACCTAGAACTGAGAAAACTTTCCTGGGCCAATTTTTGTCAAAGCTGGTGTGGGGCTCTTCTGAAAACTGGCTTGTCCTAAACTAACTTGTATTTGTAGTAGAGTTCTGTGGTTTTTCCTCCTGCATATTGAAAACTTCTGACTTGGTAGTTTGTCTTCATCTGGGATAGACCAAAATCATTGAAGTTTACTTGTGTTTAGTTCTTGCAGCCTTGTTTTTACCTTTAGCTTCCCTACTGTCTTTTTAGGCTCAGGGGTCCTCAAGCTGGAAGACAGCAAAGATGAGGGGTACATGTAGAGCAGGTTTGTCAGGAGAAAGAGGCCAGAGTGGATTACAAGGAGACTGTCAGGGACTTGGTTGGAGACACACGGGAGACTGAAGGCCATCACTTGACAGGATAGGGATGTGGGCTGACTGCCTTGAGGTTGGCAGGGAAAGTTTAATCACTAGAGAGGTGAAAGGAATGAGGACAGCAGAGGGAGAAGTGTCTTTCTCGTACAGAAGACATCACCAGTGCCTTGCCAAAAACCCAGACTGTAAACCCATCTCTGAAAGTATTTTCTGGCTGTAGCCAACTGTGGGTCTCCTTTAACTTAAGCAAAAGACCATCTACTCTGAAATGATATAGAAGTTCACAGCTGAAGTCCCACCAGGATAGATTGCTAGGCCTGGAGTGATGAACTCAACTTACAGTTCAAAACCTTATTTAACTCCTTACCTCTTGTCTCCCCTTTCTGGGGTTTCCAATGCTCTAGACAGTGCAGTAGAATTTGAACCTTAAAAGTTACCCATTGGTCTTCAGAAAACTTTTCCTCCATGTGACTAACAGGCACGTAATGTGGCTGGCAGTGCCAGTGTGGCTGGTAAAGCCCTGGCATGGGAAATTCTGATGCCCTGGAGCTGGATGGGCACATACATGTGATGGGAAGCTGCTGTCAGTCAGTGCCAGTGCTGTGGGATGCACACATCTCTGCTTGCACTTGGTGGGTCAGACTGTGCAGTCCCCCAGAGTCCACCCAGGCTTTAACTCAGCTGCTCTAATGATGCTGCATTAATGAATGCACAGTTGAGCTCTGAGTTATGTGTGGCTCTGTTGAGACAGTCTGACGGCAGAAATGGTTTTCCATAATTGAACTTTTTGTTCCCTAAAATAACGATAATTTAAAAAATCACTTTCCTGGTGTGATCCATCAGTATCATCACTTGCAAAGAGTGAAGCTCATTGTGTGAGAGTAAGGCTCTTAGCCAGCACATGTGAATGTGTATCAAAATGTTTGGCTCTTTACTCTGTCAGACATGGCTATATGTTTTCTGGAAGAGAGTCCCAAAATAATAGTATGTGGGTCAAAGCAGAGTAGCTAAAATAGCAAGAGAATTTTTAGAATTGGAATCCAAATAATGACTTTTTTAAACAAATATCAGAAAGACAAACCGAGGAGTTACAAAGTTTACATTATCCTTCAAGCATGCAAAAATGGCTTTTTTTTCTAGTGGATTAAAGTCCTAGATCTTAAATGACAGCAGCTTAGCCTGCTTTCAGTTTTAATACTTCGAATCTATACTGTGCAACTAAAGAAAGAACTGTATATTTTATCTGTCTGCCCTGCATTTGTGGGGAATTTTATGCAAGGGTGATGGTAAGGACATCATTTCACATTTCTATTGCACTGTACATTCGGATACCAGTATTTTACATCCATTAAAAAATCCTTACAACATCCTTCCTCTGCAAGCATGCGGCATACTGCTTGTGCTCCTTTCCACAGAAAGCATTGATTTTTCACTGCAAAGTCGAACGTCTAAAAAACCCAGCGTGTCTCATGGGGTTTGCAGATTGGATTTACCTCATGGGATTTGGTCCTTGTTTCATCTGTGGGCCATGAACCTGAGTTACCTTTCATCTTCCATGGTGGGCTGCTGCATTATTGCAGCTGTGATATGTCATCGTATGTGAACCAGAGATGTGAAATCTTGGTGCCTCATGGAAGATGTAACTTGCCATGATAGTTTTGTTTATGGGGAGGAATAAGATGACAAGGTACTGGTCTGGCATTTATTTCGTGGTGACCCCTTCTTGTCTCTCAGTGTTTTAGTTGATGTGATGCTTCTCCCCTGTTGGACAGTAGAGTGCACCAGACAGCAGGAGTGTCCGTGTGGTTAACTAGGAGGTGTTGGGCAGCTCTCAAGCAACATGCTTCAGCTTCAGAAATCTTCTGTTGATTTGACTGGACAGTGCAGTTCATGTCATTAATTGTCATTAAATGTCAGAGGAGAGGGAAAACGGAGTTCAGAGGAAGCAAGTCCTTTTCATCTTTCAGGGGCAGGAATTAGTAGCATAGTGTAAGAGTCACAGCACAACCTCAGGGAAATGGGCAGTGATACAGGGCCTGGCTGTGATATTCAGGTTTTCATGGTTGTATCCATCAGAGTGCAGAAAAGAGAGAGGGTAAGCCACAGGAAGCTTTGCTGACAGAGGATCATCAAAAAGGAAGAAATGGCATTTCAATCTTCTGACTTTATTGTTGCGTTGGAATAAATGAACGTGTAACTGATGGATTTGGTTTAATCCTATGGAGTAACACCAGACAGTCTTTAATAATCAAGAAAAGCTAAAACATTAAATTCTTGGGTTTGGCTTCTTCTAAAATGTGGATGAATGGGTGTGAGCATGGCGAAGAACCAGAAAATAGGCTAAAGGTTCTTCTCTGCCAGCAGTCATTAAGGCTGGCAGCCCAGAAAATTGCAGTAGAATTACTGAAGTGTGACCCTTTTTTCTTCAGCACTTTGCTATTTGTTAGCTTTTTGGATCTAAATTTGTGGACCAGAATCATTCAGATGTTTTAGAGCTGGAACTTACATAATCAGTTAGAGAAAAGGATGACAGGCTCTTGGGGACATCACCCTTGTGGAGTGATGGAAGAGAAATCATAGTTTTAATGTACTTGCCTCCTGTAAGTTTAATCAAGAGCTAAAAATATCACCTATTTCCTGTGGATATTGGAGAACCTGTCTTCTTTTTTGTCATTCTATTTTTGCAAGATTCTGCATATTGATTATGTTCTTCCTCCTTATTCCCGAGAGCAGCTGTGATCCAGTTCTGCTCTCTGAAAAAATTTTCTCTAGACTGAAAAAACCTGACTTCATAAATAAAAGCATTATTAGATGGTAGCTCTTTTTTGTTTTATTCCATGCCTTTTTCTGTGTAAGACCTTTAAATTAGATAAATCCAGAGCATGTGTTTGACTTGCACTATGCCTTTTGATGTTTAATGAGAAGACTACCTCAAAAAAAATTTCCTTTTCTATTTTCATGGTTCTGTTTTGGAAGGTATTCATGTAAGGTTTGCAAGAAAAATATATGTGCAAGAGAGAAATACAGAGAAATAAGCTTGATGCTCATGACTTTGCACTGTAAAATTTGCCATTACTTTTTAATGTGGTTGTGAATTAATGTATCTCGAGAGTGGCAGACATTTCATACAAGCTTCCAATCATTTCCTTAATCCTGGATTAATCCTTTGTCCTGGTTAGTGGGGTTTTGCCTGATCTCTGTTGATAAGCAGCCTAAAACCAGAGGGGGCTGTAATCCAGGAGTTCAGTGTGCTCCTGGGGGAAAGTGGAGATGTCCAGTGCCATTGTTGCTCTTCAGTGATCTGTAGCCAACATGTAAAGGCTGCTGGCATGATTTACAGCCTATGCCTCTGGTGTGTAGGCTTGAAAGGTCCATCCTCAGCCAGTCTGAGACCAAGGTCACCTTGGTGATGCCTGATCTAAACCTTCTGTGTGTTAACTCCACAGTGGGGACCTGCAGGTGACGGGAAGTGGACATTGCCCATATAGCACTGCCCAGAAAGCCGTTGGAAAGGACAACTTCACTATGATTCCTGAAGGGGTCAATGGAATTGAGGAAAGGATGACTGTTGTCTGGGACAAGGCTGTAGTAAGTAATTGCTTACTTTTATTGACTAAAAAAAAATGGAGTGTTGGCTGAATAATGAAGGCCAGGAGACTCTTGGCCAGTACTTTAATGATTTTCTAATATATTTCTGAAAATTCCCTGAGAGAATGCTACTGCGAGGTGAATTGCTTGTTTCAAAAACCTCTTCCGTTTGTTTAAACTCAGGGCTGTGTTTCACTTCTGACACTGCACCACAATTGCATTTTATTAGACCTGAGGCTTCCCAGACTCCACTGCTCTATTTTCCAGTTGTGTCAGAGTGGATGCTTCTGAGAGTTGTAGTACCTGGAGCAATCTAATGGTTCTGAAGTGGACCTCACATAAACGTGATGAATGGATTGTTTGAATTTGGGAAGTGTCTCGTCGTTTTTGAGAAATTACAAATGGATGGCAGCTGAACCTGAGGCTAAATGATGAAATACTTTGAAGGAGAACATTGTACATAATTCATACTGGCATGTTTTGCAGTGGACTGCCAGTATAAGTCAGCAATTCTTTGATGATTCCTTGGATCCTAATGTATAGTGATATTCTCCCTCTATTGTCTGTCTCCACATACACACCCATGCACGCTCACACACACACACTCATTACCTTACATTGCATTGTGCTCAAATGCATATTGCAAACTGGGAAGTGGTAGCATTTACAGTGCTCCAGTGAGCACTTCTCCCAGACTGTATTTCATAACCACTTTCTTCAGGGACTGCTATTGAGATTCCAAGCACAGAAGCAGCTTCAGGTACCTGCCATGTAGGAACAAAACAGGGAAGCAAGCAAAGTGCAGCCAGGCAGTGATACTTCTCTTTTGTTACTCCCTCAGTGGGAAGAACCTGCAGCAAGGGCTGCAACATGGGATTTACGGGTGGTAACATTCAGTCCTGCGCCACCAAGTAGCTTATATTTTGCAAATCTCATGTTTTACCAGGCAGGAAATAAGTGTTTATTTAATACTAAAAAGTTTGGCGTTGTTGTTTTTCCTTAGAACATTGTCCTTGCTCATTGCCAGGGAAGACCCCAAAATACTCTACTGAGAAATCAAAATGCTGTTGTGTTCAGTTGCGACTACCATGCAAAGTTCTATTCGTGGTGACATTTCTCCAGGCAAGGATTTTATAATTGGGGTTGTATTACTCAGATGTATAGATTTGGTGATACTAATAATAGAATGGACCTAATTTGCAAGAAATGTTCCCAGAAGTGTTGGACTCTTGATCTTTTGTTTCATTTCCTAATACTCATATACATTTCTCTGTTTTAAAATTGGTTAAACATTTAAATGGAAATTACTGGGACTAGCAACAGAACACACTTAGGCATCAATGTGTAGAGAAAGAGACCTTAGATGACTGAGGATCTTGATGGTATCACCTGCATTAAGGTTTCATTGGCTGTTCTTTTCAGTGCCTGGAGTAACATATTCATTTATTTGAAACTCCCAAGTAATGTGCTTTATATAAAGTCCTGTGGGATAAAATTTGTTTCATGCAACATCACTGTATCTATAAAGTACATGCTTTCCCATACTGTTCAGTACTCTGAATAGTAAATCCCCATTTCATAAACAATGTTTTGCTCACATCACATTGTTTTTAGGCCACGGGCAAGATGGACGAGAGCCAGTTTGTAGCTGTCACCAGCACCAATGCTGCCAAAATCTTCAATCTGTATCCAAGAAAAGGCCGGATTGCTGTAGGATCGGATGCTGATGTTGTTATTTGGGACCCTGATAAGGTGAAGACTATAACAGCCAAAAGCCATAAATCGGTAAGGACAAAAGGAAAACCAGAAAGAAAAAAGAAATGTCACTGTTACTTTTCAGCTGTTGATCCTAAATCATGTGAACACCAAATGCAGGGGATACAGAGGAGCGGAGTAACTGCCTGCTCCTATTCTGAAATGGGTAAATGTTTCAGGACATGAAAGTATTGAAATCCTGCATTGGAAGCATTGGGATCAGGATCTTTTCTCTCTGCATATACCCTTGCACTATGTATTTCTTTCATGCTTTAGGCAGATCTGTAAATAGGTGTGAAACAGCAGCTCTGCAGCTGAGGTTAATAAGTCTGTGAGGATAAATTTAAAACCAGCTCATTTTTTTTGTTCACCTGAGAAGTACCTAATATTATAAATTGCATGATTAAATCAGCAGTATTCTAAACTATGAGAGATGATGAAATATTTTGATAATACAGCTTCATGAATCAGATTTTCTGTTTCATTCCAGAGTTTTGCCACATACATCTCTGCCCTTAGTGCAGAGTACTAGAGACTGCTTGTCTCTTTGATTTTGACTGTGACTGGTTTTACCTTATATGTTGTCTATCTTAAAGTTGTTATCTTATTGCTCAGTGCTTTGATCTTTTGCATTGGGGAATTCTTCCGAAAGTTTTACTGGAAATCCAGTAAAATGTTTTATATTAAAAAGGCAAAAACCACTTAGAAACCTTTAAAAAGTAAGTTTAGGTGATTCAGTTTCTATTTCTCTCTTGGGATCTTTCTGTATTTTCAAGAAAGTAGTAATCACACCTGCCCTGTCATTCCCATTAAGACTCAGGCTTTCCTGGTCCTTTCTGGACTTGTTCAGACAGAAGTATGTGTGCTGGCCCCTTTGAAATTCACTTACTTGAAAGTCACAACAGATGCATGGCTGGACCAGGTCCTCTGGATATCCAGCAGCTGAGTCACAATTTTCCTTCATATTTTCATATTAAGGGTACCATAATTCTAGAGCCTCTGGAAAAATACGGCAAGTCTTCAAAAACAAGTGAGAGAAAACCTTGATGGAAAATGAGAAATAGAAGGAAAAGTCTGATCCAGGAAAGTCTGACCAGAAAAATCCTTTAAAGTGATTTCATAATGCATTACTTTTCCTTCATACAAACCAATTTTATACATTTATTAATGGCTGTTATCTAAAACTATGACTAAAAATACAGATTATAAATTACTAATTGAAAGAGATCTGGCAGTGAATATGTTGGTTCATTCTCAGGCCATTGAGTACAACATCTTTGAAGGAATGGAGTGCCATGGTGCCCCACTCGTGGTCATAAGCCAAGGGAAGATTGTGTATGAAGATGGAAACCTGCACGTAAATAAGGGAATGGGCCGCTTCATCCCTCGCAAACCTTTCCCTGAATATCTTTACCAGCGCATCAAAATCAGGAATAAGGTAATGTCAAATACTGCCTAATCTTCTTTGTAGCCAAACCCTCTTGAAACCACAGCAGTGTAGGTTTTTAATGTTACTGTGCTAATGAGTCCATTTCAGATGGATTGTATATGACTTGTTCAAAAAATGACCACAAAACTAGTTCCTCTGCAATTGTGAACTGATGTAACACCACGAGCTTCAGTGTGTAGAGCACATAATTGTCAGTTGGGCATAATTGCCTTCTGTCCAGCTGTGCAGGCTTTTGAAGGGAGGTAGAATAGTGATAGAATTTACTTTCAGTTAAAATTCAGGAAAAGATAAAGCTGCTTGTGGAGGAGGGTTAAGCAGAACAAAACCAGAATTTTAAATCGCATACTGAACTGCCACACTGCAGAGAAGAAAAGCATGTAAGCCAGAGATACTCATTATTTTGGGCATCTCTGAACTATTGTTAGTGCATTTGCTGAGCTGGGTATTAGCAGCATTCATAACTCAGAAAACTTTTCTCTTTTGATAAATAAAAAGCTTGGGAAGTGACCAAAATTAAGACTGGGTCACTTCTGGTTTTGAATTGTTATATCTGTCCTGCTCTTTTGAAAACCAATTGGTTGGGCACTAGTTTGGGGTTATTTGGAAATTACTTCTTGCCACTGAGCAAGAAAGTCGCTGTGAGAGCAGAGATAATGAAAAAAATTGACTAAAACTCATATTTTCTTCAACCAAGCATGTATTATAGGCTGTGAGACTGGCAGCTGAAATTAAGTCTATGAGCAGGTTGATAGTTTCTGTCTTTCGTCATTTATGATACAAATTATGTCAAACTGCAGAAAAAAGGTTTGCACTTCTTAGGAGAAGAGGCCCAGTAAAATGGAAATGCACCTGCCAAAGTTTTGCAGAATACCAATCAGTGTTGCCTTTTTTTTTTTTACATAATCCATGTAGATGACATAGGCCTTGTCTTCACACTCGCCTCTCAAGGGTTTAGCTCTTGGGAGTGCTATATAAATTAGTGATGATGTCATTAGAATACTGAAACCAGCACGTTAAAAACAAGTATCAGAGAATAGTGTCTTGTAGCAGGAGTTTGCACAAAGGTAACTGGGCTAAGTAACCTGTGTCTTGCAGGTGGGCCTGGATTTTGGGAGACTTTTGATACTTGGGCCAGGTGTGCAAAGAGACAAAGAAAGGGACTGCTGTTTTTGCTCCTACGGCTCCCTCTGCTGCCTGCCCAGAGGAAGGGAGAGCAGATCCGTGACCGCATTTTTTTTCCCCACTGCCAAATTTTATCCATTGGAAATATTTAGAAAAACCCAGTTGTGGTAGTGTCAGCTGCTGTATGATCATGTCAGTGCACGACAGAGGAATATAGAAAACACATATCAAGCAAGGGACTGCAAACCAAGGAACTGGCACAGGTTAGCAGTATAAATTTATCCCTGGAGCAGGGATAGGAGTATAAATTCGTGCTTTTGTGGGTCCCTGGAAGATGCATTCATTGCTGTGATTGGCATCTGCTTTCTTCTGAGCATTAGTTTTGGCTCAGCTTGCAAGACGGTGGCTCTTCTGAGCCTGATGTCCCCATCACCAAAAACAAGGAAAATGCATTGATTTCTGTGAGAGCTGGATTAAACCCCTGTGAATAGTGTCTTTCTGTACAGTGTTTTAATTTCATTTTTAACCTGTTGGGGAAATGACTCTGAAAACCATAATCTTGTAGTCTCAGACTTCTGATCTTTTTGATGAGCTTTGGATTCTGCAATTCAGTGGCTTCAGGCTCTTTCTGAAAGTTGGAACTGTTCTTATTAAAATATTATTTCCTAGATTGCTATGATTTTAAGGCCAGTGAAGTTGTTTTGATTCTTTTCTCATATTCCTCATAAGAACTGTAAAGGGAAAAAATGTGGAGACCGTGAAGTGAAATCAGAATTCAAGTGACAGATACTTTATTGACAAATGTTATAAGATGGGTCCCATGCCACAGTGTGGCATACAATTGCTTTTCTAGTTGATGACAAGAAGTTGAAACTTTTGAAACTTTTGAAATTTAATTTAAAAATTGCCACCACTTTTCAATGAAGAGAATTGAGATCTTTGAAGGGGAGGAGCAGAGGGAATACAGGTAGGAGAGAAATTGCTGCAGTTGGTATAGTGGGTATCAGTCTGTTACAACCCAAGTGTAATTTGGCAGTGGAATGGAGAGAGAAAATATGATTGTGATTGATCTTACGTAAAATAAACATCTTAGGTCGACCTTTGTTCTTTTGAATCCCATTTCACCCCACTGATTGTGAAGAAAGCCTGATAAGGATCTCTCTCATAATTTATATATATATAGAAATGGAAGGAGGAATTTGTAATTTCCTGTATATATAAAGCAAACTGCAGCTTTGCTCTATATATAGCAGAATATAGCTCTGTGCTCAGTGCTCTCTGCATGCAGGCAGGAGTATCTTTTGGCAGCATTATCAGAGCATTCAGTGTCTGGATTTTTACTCTCCTCTTGATCTAGGTGGGAGGACTGCAAGGAGTCTCCAGAGGAATGTATGATGGGCCTGTGTATGAAATCCCAGCTACGCCAAAATATGCAACTCCTGCACCCTCAACTAAATCCTCCCCTGCCAAAAACCAGCCCCCACCAATCAGAAACCTCCATCAATCCAATTTCAGCTTATCAGGTAAGTCGACCTGACTAATGAGAAGCATTTTAAAGCCATGAGTTTGGATTATTGGTGATAAATTTCAACCATAATTACTTCTTTAATAAAATGTCAAAGGATTGTATATACTCATATACATGCATATACTTACATACACACACACACTCACATATATACACATGTATGTATACACGTTTTTCTGCATTCGTTCCTAGGAATATTTTACACATAGCCAAATATTCAAGATGCTTGCAATTTGAAATTTTTCTGTGTCAGTCTTCCATTACTATTTACCTGGCCCACTGCAATTAGCTGAGGTCACTGGTTGATGTGACTGAAGCCCCTTGGTGGTGTGTACAGCTGGTGGGACTTGGGTCTGGTGCAACCCTTCTGTCTCAGACAGCTGAGATGCTACATCACCAGAAGCTGCTAGACATGGAAACCTCCACTGTCCTTGTCCTTGGTTGTAAACCATGTGCAGAAGTCGTTCATATGCAGATTGGAGTATTTCTTACCCTCTTTGCTCTTGGTGTCCAAAACATTTTCCATGGTATGTAAGAAATAGACTGGAAAATCATCCTTTGGGGTTGCTGGAAATAATTCTTGTCCTCTGAAGACAATTACAAGTGTTTCAAATCCTTGTCTTTCAAAAGTCTACAGCCCCAGTGGTGAATAATGCCTCCATTTGGTGTTACGAAAGTCATTGGATTTTCTCCCTTGTGGGAGCTAATGGTGGAGTTTTCCTCCCTGACAGATCCTGTCTTAGAAACTAAACAAAACTTCTGGAAGAAAATCCAAGGAAAGCAAATATATTAAAAACCTTTCTAGAGAGTTGAAGTATATTTTTGCCCATACACCTGGGGCCAGGATGACATATACAGGTCTATATGAAGCTATATAAAGCAGAAAAAGTGCTTAGAAATTTGACATCTTAGTAATAACTAGTAAGTGGGATTTGCATAAGCATCTGAAGCTGTGGTTTTACAGTCCACTGCTGGATCTGTGTACTACCAAGGCATCTAGTGGTACAAATTTGATCCAAATGGTGCAATCACACATTACTGTGTTCTTCTGAAATTAAGCAGAACCAGAGACTATGATAACATTTTAAATTACTCCTCACATTTATGGTAGTCTTACATTGCCTTTAGGAAACTGAGTGTGATCAGGCAATATTTAGCCTGTCAGAAAGCTTGCTTAACCTTAAGCTTAACCTTTCAACATTTTAAAATGCAGTTTGAAGTGGGTGTGAGTTTACATCAGCTCAGTGCTCCTTTCCTCGTGGATTTATCATTGCTAACATCAGATTTACTGTACTGTTGACCCAAGGGCTCAGTAGGGACAGATACTCTAAATCGGTGACACAGTTTTGAAAAATCCAGTCTGCAAGTACATGTTTTGGACTTGTTTTTGTAGTTAATAATACTTTCTGTCAGGGTCTGATCTCGAAAGGGAATCCAGTCCATAGCCTGTCATGGGCTCTTCTTCAGGTTGGTGGAATACAATTCCCCATGTAGCGTGAGCATCAGTCTGATCCTAAACATTTCATCCTACACTTCGCATTCAAGACAACTGGAATTAAGGCACAGAAATGTGCCTTGAAGATCAGTTTAGCATTTCAGTCAGAGGTCGGCTCAAGAGAAACCAACACACGGTCATGTGAGAGAAACATAGCCAGGTAAAATCTCACTGCTGACGGTTTATTCCTTTTCATAGCTTTGTTTCCTCATTCTCTGCTGTTGCAGGAGCTCAGATTGATGACAACAACCCGCGTCGTACTGGCCACCGCATCGTGGCACCTCCTGGTGGTCGCTCTAATATTACCAGCCTTGGCTGAAAACTGATGATGGACAGAAACACGAGGATGAAGGATTATGGGAATAATGTCCATTCCCTTCAATATCTGTGTTATTGAGCCCACAGTTTTATTTGGTACTAATGGAAATAAAAACAAAAATGTCTTTCTTTTTTTTTTTTTTTTTGTATAGAAGAGGTGATAATAGTGTGGTGTGTTTGCTTGGAACTACTTGCCTCACAATTGTGCTTTCATGCCATAGTCACCTTAAAGCATGGTGCTTCCATTGCCCCTTTAGTGACTACAGGTTTTAGCTTTGTCTTGTAACTGAATGATGGTTCCTTTGCACCCTTTCGCTGTATTAGAGTAGTTAGTGCATGTTACTGAGTTATTTATGCAAGTTGCATTCTGTGAGTGAGTCCCTTTTAGAACACGTTGCCAACAATTGACTAGACACAATGCCAAGATTAATGTCTGTATTTGAGAAACACCACCAAAAACACTTATGAAGGAAGAAAATGGCCATCTTGAAAGTAAGCAGTAGAGTAGTATAGGCAGCTTCTGTTTAATCTTTAATTTATTATAAACCCAAGAAGCACTTCTCTCAGACACAGAAGATCATCGGGACACGTAATGACAAATGGTCTCCGTAGCACCTGTCTGTTCCCACTCGGTACATTCCAAGTCTGTGTCCTTCTTGTTTCCATTTTAGACAGAGCCATAATTTTTACATACCAATGCCATTGCCACCCCTGCAGGGATTTCTCCACCTGGGCAGTAGTGCTCTCCTTCTGCATGAGATTTTTGGTACTTACAGATAATCCAAGTTGCCGTCGGATTTTTAAAGTTTTTTGTACAAACTTTTTCCTTTGTAATCACATGCATTTTTACTTACTCTACCGTATCAAGATCTACTAGTTGTGGTTCAATTTCTGAATTCAAAGCTTGTGAAATAAAAGAAATTAATTGATGGGTAAGCGTCCTCCTCTGCTTTCCAGTGCTGTGACTCAGTGATTGAAAATTTAGAATGGAGAAACTCAAGAGAAGTTGTCTCTTAGGTTGACATCGTGCCATAGAAGGAAACTCCTTAGATCACAAGTGTTGTTAAACACATCATTACAGATGTCTGCATACTGTATGTCTTAAGTAAATAGAGCTCACAGTAAATGTACGTACTAAAAATTGTACTAACTAATGGTTGGTCTCAGTCTTAGAGGTCTTTTCCAACCTTAATGATTCTGCAATTCTGTGACATTGCAGCTGCCTCAGTTAACTTTCTCTCAAGACCTTCAGGTCTACATTTCATTTGCATGAAGTGGTAACTCATTGCCATTAACCTTGTCTGTAGTACAGAAGCAGTATGCAGTGCTCCAGTTTGACCTAAGCTGTATTTGACTTCATACTGGTTTTCTCTGCTGACAATCCATGCAAGTGTCCTGGCATGGCATGAACAAGACATGCTCCAGGTAAGGTGAGGAAAGTGGACTTTAATTCTGTCTCTGACAATGCATGAAGTTTTTTCTCCTTGTCTTTCACACTCCTTCACAAACTATGTAAAGAAACCTTATTTCCTGTCACTTATTGTCTAATTGTGTTGCAGATGCTGTGGGAGGTGTGGGCTACAGTGGAGGTGGGGTGCTAAGAGATTAAGGAGGTCAGCAGAACACCTTCCCCTGTGCCACTTTGTCTACACTGCAAAGCTGCACCAGGAAAAGTCTTGCAGCAGCGTGGTGCCACTGTAATGGTTTTATCTAACTGCACCCGTCCATCCCATCCACACAGCAGTAACTTGGGTTGGCACAGACAACTTGGTGATAGCCAGGTGCATGTGGGACATAAATGTTTTGGGAAGTAGCCTACCTGAAGCCTGTCATTCTGAAGCCAGTATGCCATCACCTCTGGCTTCCCTGGGAAAGGAACCGCTACCCTGGAAAACTCCATTTGGATCAGCTTGGTCAGAAACCTGGCATTAGAGCTGGTCTGAACAGCCAGCTTTTCTTTTTCCTTTGGCTCTGGGCTGAACCAGTGGAGAAACACTGCAGTTCAGTCTGCAGTGACCTGAATTGATTGCTCCCAAAAAGAGGAAAATAATGCTTTTCATGAACAATCCCTTCCGCTAAGAATTCAAATTCATGTTTCCTATTGCCTGGAGAGTACTCTCATCCCCAGGTCTGCTTGGTGGTTCAGATATTTTATGACATGAATTAAAATAACTTGCTTACTTGGTGGTTCAGGTTGTTTATAGGAAGTAAAATAACACTAGCAGAGAAGCCTGAGGACAACCTGCCCTGGAATAACCTACAGCCAAGCGGGTAAGGCAGTCCTGAAATGTCAAGTCTCCATTTTATCTGTTCTATTCCAACCCATTTGCTGTGAATGTTGACAGCCAGAAATGGTTTTGGTGATGTAACCCTGACAACAGAAATACAGCTGGTTTGTGAAGCGATGCAGCAAATTTGACAGTGTGAAAATTTCGAAACTGCTGGTTACAATTTCCATAGTGCTTTCCTTGCATGCTTTGGTGCAAGTAGCAATTGTTGCTCATCTCCAAATACAACTCCTACTCAATGTATGAGGCTCATCATGCTTGAGGTGGTAGAAATGATCATTGTGTAACCAGTGTTGAGATTCCACTTTTCCTACATGCTTAACAGCATCTTAAACCAAAGAACCCTTTGCCTACAAGCTACTTAAAGATCCACTGTTAACATGCATTTATTTTTTCACAGTGAAGAGTCTGTGATTAAATACATGTGTGGGTGTTTGAGAGGCATTTCATGGTTCAGTGCTTCTGGTGTGAACAAGACTGTGCTTGTCGGGTCACTGTGACTACCCTACGATTTCTCCAAGGAGAAATACCCCAGTGTACCCATGAGGTTCATAAGCCCCTGCAGCCTGGCCACTGCTGCCATGGGGCTGCTGAGGGGCAGCCTGTAGGAAACCTGTGGATCCTGTGCTGTGCCAGAGTCTCTGCTCTGAACATGCAATGCTGCCTGGATGTGATTCAAGCAGCAATTGTTTGGAGCACAGGCACCCTACGTGGATGTTACTGTGATACCATCAGAGAAATGGCATCTGCCATTGCTCATGGAGAGTTAAATAAAGCAAGGTAAGTGGTGCTTCCCTTACCAGCTGGAGGCCTATTTCATAGCAATGCCTCTGCCCCTACATCACTAACCTGTCCTGAAGACAATAAAACTAACAGTAAAGAAAATGTGGATTAGCTGGTGATCCAAGCGCATCCTGCGGAATAGGAAACTCTACTTGAGTTTGCTTCCTTGTAGGAGCACCAAGCTGGGAGATGTTCAGTTTGTGAACTTGGGGGTGGGGAGCTGCTGTTACCTCACTAAAGTTGGTAGCAGTGCAGAGCCTTCATGCTTTCTGAATCATCAAGCTTCTAAAAATTTGCAGCAAGTTATGACCTTTATATACCAGATGTAGCCCTAATGGTGTAGAACTCACTCTTCCGTGTTGCTATTTGCAGACCACTTAAAATACGTCTCTGCAACCAGCCTGAGGATTATCTGTCAATCAAGTGATGTGGAAGAGAAGGCTGGATCCATAGATCACCAAGGAGGTGGCAAGAAGAATTTGCTGTATTGTTTTCCAGGATTTCATCTTCTTGACATAAACACTTGTCCAAGGAAAAGTCTTCAGTGTACAAAATATCTACTCAGATATCTATCAGTTCATATAAATATACCCTGACATTAATAACAGGTGTTGCATTAAAAAAATAATTAAAAATTAGAAACATTGCAAATCTGCATGATAAAAGACAACTTCATAATTAGAATATCAGTCTGGAATAGCAATGATTTAATTCAAGTTGTATCTTAATCCTATGTAATTGCAAAGGAGCTCTTGGTATAAAAAAATGTATTTTCATTCCAGGTTCAATAGAACACCGGATTTTGTATTTTTTTTTTTTTTGTTTCGCTTCAGGAAGTGTCCATGAATTCAATGCTTGCATCTGAATTTTCACCTCCCTTAAAAATTCAGGGATGTCTGAATGCACCATGTTCCTTATTTCCTTCCCTCTGCACTTAATACTAATCTATTAGTCATTGTTCATCCACTCTTGGTAAAAAAATTAAATCTCAGTCATCTAAACAAACTGATTTTAGGATAACTTTTCATCATGGCTGTGATGAACTTTGCCCAAACTTTCCAGATAAATTTCAATAATGGCAGTGAGGGGTATTGGGAGAAGGGTCTATGGGATATGTTACCCTCGATGTTTAAAAACAGGAGAAAAGAGGCATGACATTTTCCCCTGAATTTCTGCAGAAGTGTTTTTGATATATGCCTGTAAAGTATGATCAAAGCTCCATGTTACTCTTTCCAGAACAAAATAAAGAAAGGGTGCTTTATAGATTTACACTGTAAAGCAACTGTTTTGAGCTGTGACTGGACTTAATCTTCAGCGATTTTTCCAACCGAAATGATTCTGATTCTATAACATAACACAGAAGTTCAACAGTGCTTAACTGCAGAGCAACTGTTGTGACTTTTGTTTGGCATTTGCTACACTTGTTTTTTGGCCCAATTAAACTCTGTCTTGTTCAGTATCTGCATCACTGACAGGGAGTCATGGCAAGTGCACAAAATCTGCTCATGACATTAAACAGGAACTCGGTGTATCCATGCAGAAACTCAAAGGAGACTGAGAAGTCAGTAACGGGGCAAGAAAAGCAGGTGTTTTGTTGGGAAATTGCTAATGTGACTGTGGGAGAAGAGAATAAAGGTCTGTAAAAACTCCATCATAGGAAAGTCGGGCAGATGGAAGGCTGGGAGGTGCCCACACCCACGCCTGGGGGCACTCGTGGGGGTCCTGCCGAGCACTGGGACCCTCCCTGGCTCCTTCCCGGGATTCCCTGCCCGCCACCTCCACCAGCGAGGGGATGGAAACCTCGCAAGCTGCCCAGCAGAGGGCACTGCTGCCCTGCTTTTGGAATAATCCGAACCTTTCCTCTTTTCTAATGGAGAGAAAAAACCATTTCAGCCCTGCCTCGCCAAAGGAGAGCAGCCGGGAGACCCCACTCGGGTGATGTGAGTCCCGGCTTGGGTAATTAGAGACCCGCTGGGGTGATGCCCCCAAACTGTGATGGGAGCCGCTGCTCTGCCGGGTGGTTTAAAGGATCATCAGCTCTACTGGTAAAAGCTTCCTTATTGCCATCTCTACAGAGTGGGGGGGGGGGGGGGAGGGAAAGCAGAATGAGCAGCAACTAAAATGTCCAGATCAGGCAGAGAGATCACAGAGCTCAGACACCAAAATACCAGAATCAAATGCTTGAAGTGGTACAATTTAAAATAATTTTTTTTTACTATGTTTGGGGTGAAAATTAACTCGCTTTGGCAAACTCATTTGTGTGGCAGCACTTCTGTCTGAGGCAGAATGCATAACTGATGTAGCATTGTCCATCCCGCACCAAAGGACATCGTTTTTGTTAGCAAAATATCATGTTTATTTTTAAAAAGGCAGAAAACTTCCATTTCATGAAAACTGTAAGTCTGCTTAAGTGGGGGAATTTATTACACAATACAGGTTCTCTGTGCAGCCAGCAAGAACTCCCTGCTTTGCACAACAAGAATTCCCATAGGAGAAGTAATGAGCATAACAAAGTATATTGGAAACAAAAGGGTGCACTTCAGGAAGAAGACTAGAAACTGAAGTATAAAAAAATGAAAGACTAAACTGGTTTTGTCTCATTTTTTCTGAAAGTAATAGTATGAAATCTGAGACAAAGGAAGAGAAGTACATATATAAAAATCTTTGTACAAATATTAAAAAGCATACATAGCCCTGGAAGCACTAGAATGTAACAAAAGAGTGACCAAATGTCATATTTTGATGTACCAATACTATCTGAAGTCTGTTTACATATTCTTTACATTTTTATCTGGTTTTGTTAGGCCAAAGCAGAAATTACAAAATATTAAGACCTGATCTACCACATTTAGGGCTCAA